GCACCGAAATCGGGCAAACCGTTCTTGATTTATGTCAAGGCGACGAGCCACTCATTAAGTGCATTACTTGCACAAGATGATGATAACGGTCACGAGCAGGCGGTATATTATTTAAGCCGAACTATGGTAGGCGCTGAATCTCGATATCCTATGATTGAGAGAGAATGCCTCGCCTTGGTGTTCGCTATTCAGAAGATGCGGCATTATCTGGTCGGGCAGACCATTTATGTCATCTCTAAAGTTAATCCGGTTCGAGTATTCATGACTCAACCAGCTTCCATGAGCTGGCGATTAGCAAAATGGGCCTTACTCTTGTCCTAATATGACTTGCATTTTAAACAACAGAAGTCAGTAAAAGGACAGGCCATCTGTGATCTCCTGGCAGACAATCCAACTACGGATACCGCCGAGATATATGACGACCCACCTGATGAAACCCACGAAGTTAACGCGACTTCACACCAACAAGTATGGCGTTTATACTTCGACGGCGCTTCGCGAGCAACTAATGTTACAAGTGCTCCTAGAAGTTCTAAGATTTCTTCCGGAGTTGGAGTTGTCTTAGTTTCCCCGGGAAAACACGTGATGCCTCGAGCTTACTCGTTGACTGAACCGTGCTCAAATAACGTAGCCGAATATAATGCATTACTCATAGGACTCAGTTTTGCTAAAGAACTGGGGGTGGAGTATCTCGAAGCCTTCGGTGATTCTCAACTGAAGGTTCGAAGCCAAGATTTAATACCATACCATAAGATGGCAGTGGAGATGGCAGAATCATTCGAAGGATTCTTTATCGAACATATTCCACGGCTACAGAATACCTACGCAGACGCGTTAGCAGCATTAGCCGTATCTCTGGCACAACCTCCCGAAACAGAACAGTTTGTTACAGTGAGGACTCACCAACTTTTAGTGCCGATCCACGATGAAGATAGCGAAGAAGAAGAGATCAAGGAAACACACTCAACCCAAATTGAGTTTGAACCCCGAGATTGGCGTTTCCCCATCATCGATTACGTCTTACATGGAATCCTACCAGAAGACATGAAAGAAAGAGAGTCAATCCGACGAAGAGCGCCGAGATTCTACTATAACACGGAGAATCGAACGTTATACCGCAGGGGGTATGATGGTTTACTATTGCGTTGCTTATCGACGAAAGAGGCTGAAGAAGTCCTTAGGGAGGCGCATGAAGGAGAGTGTGGCGCACACCAACCTGGCCCCAAGCTTTATGATCGCATCAGAAGAATGGGGTATTTTTGGCCTTCCATGATGAGTGATGCAATCACGTATGCCCGAAAGTGTAAACCAACCTCCGGAGCATCTGCATCCTTCGGTTACGTCATGGCCGTTCGAGACTTGGGGAATGGACATTGTTGGTCCTATAAATCCCCCGTCAGTCAAAGGTGACCGGTTCATCCTAGCAATTACCGATTACTTCTCCAAATGGGCTGAGGCAGTTCCACTCAGAGAAGTTAAAACGAGCAATGTCATTGCATTCATCAAGCACCATATCATCTACCGGCATGGTGTACCAAGACGAATCGTACATGACAACGGTCCTCAATTCGTCAGCAACGCCTTCATCAGGTTTTGCGAAAAGTTTAAAATTCAGGATATCTCGTCAACGGCTTATAATCCCACAGCAAATGGATTAGCTGAAGCCTTCAACAAGACTATCATCAAACTCTTGTCAAAAATCGTGAAAACTAATAAACGAGACTGGGATGACAAGCTTGGCGCGGCTCTATGGGCCTATCGGACCACGGTGCGCACACCAACGGGAGCAACCCCGTATTCACTGGTATACGAATGTGAAGCTGTTCTTCCATTGGAAATTCAAATCCCGCCCACAGCGAATGGACTGGCCGAAGCCTTCAATAAGACTATCATAAAGATTTTATCAAAACTCGTGAAAACTAATAAACGAGACTGGGATGACAAGCTTGGCGCGGCTCTATGGGCCTATCGGACCACGGTGCGCACACCGATGGGAGCAACCCCGTATTCACTGGTATACGGAAGAAGGGCAAATTTGAACCCAAATGGGAGGGACCATTCGTAGTAGAGACAGTCTACTCGAGTGGCGCATATCGCCTAGTCACCAAGGACGGCGACCGGCTTATGATGCCGATAAACGGCAAGTTCCTGAAAAAAATACTATCCTTAGTATCTTCAGAATAACTAATGTATCGGGAAGTTCCCGGAAGAATACCACACGTGATATTCTTAGGGATAACCCAATCACTGTAGAAGTAATGAATAAGAAATCCACGTTCGAACTCTGAATGTCGGAATGTTTCTTCTTGTTAGTGTCAGATTCTCTAACTCTCATGAGTTATTTTTGTGAGACGAGATTCAATCCGTTGACAGGTTAATCTTTCCTCACCAAACCATCCGCTGATCAAGTTAAACGACAGTGGATCCACCAACATTTCCATCTGCCCGTCGTGGGCATTTCTCAGACTCAACGTGCTAGGTCCTAATCACCTAGCATTAAAGTCTCCCTCTGAGTGATAATACGAGTTGGCATTTTCTTTGCTACCCGTATTCCACCTTCTTTGCTTTCTGGTCAAACCTATAAAAGTTAGGGCCAAAGCCAAATTCCTCTCTCGATTCCTTCCATGAACGAGAGGTCCACTTTCAATTTGAACAGTCAAACCTATAAAAGTTAGGATTGTTCCCGATCTCGCTTAGTCAAGCCTACAAATAGTCAAGACTAAGGCCGAGTCATTCCTTTTCGATAAACGAAAATCCACCTTTGTCCCCTTTTCCACCAAACCTATAAAAGTTAGGGTTGAAATTGGGTTTTCTCCTCAATGAATGAGGGGTTCTTTGGGTTCAAATGACCAATCCTATAAAAGTTAGGGTCGTTCGAACCTCTCCGATTCTCAGAGTGGAGATCCCACTCTTAGTTTCATCCTTCCGGATTCTGGGGGTGGAGATCCCACCTCGAGTTTCCTTTCCAGCTGAAGATAGAATATAAAATTCTTCCTCATCAGCACCGGGAGATAGAATATAAAATTCTTCCTCTCCCGTTTCCTTTCCAGCTGAAGATAGAATATAAAATTCTTCCTCTTCAGCACCGGGAGATAGAATATAAAATTCTTCCTCTCCCGTTTCTCAGTCTGTCTTTGCTCTTAGAAAAGACACAATTCTCAACTTCCAATCCAGGCACTTGGTGCACGGGGAATTTTATCTCGACTCCTAAATAGAGATAAGCCTACGCCTAACACGCGTTGCCGGTTTAGTCTTTCACCGATTGAAAAAGACACCAAGGTCTAAACTTGGGAAATTTTATCTTAACTCCTAAATGGAGATAAGTCTACGCCTAACACGCGTTGCCGGTTTAGTCTTTCACCGATTGAAAAAGACACCAAGGTCTAAACTTGGGGAATTTTATCCCGAAGCCTAAGTAGGGATGAGTCAACACCTAACACGTGTTGCCGGGTAGCCTATTCCCGTAACAAAGGCGAAGCCTATGTATTCGGCATCATAGCACAAAGCCTCAGAGAATTCACTCTCTAAGCACAACGTTACATGCGGAACGGATTTAGATAATCCGCATGCTAGCCCGACTCAAACGGTAATCGGTAAAGGCACATCAAACCCGTTGAAGACTGGGGGTTTGCCAAAAATTGCCAAAAATCCCAAAGTCTATGTCTAACACACATTGCCGGTTTAGTCTTTCGCCGATTGAAAAAGACACCAGGATCTAAGCCTGGGGAATTTTATCCCGAAGCCTAAGAAGGGATAAATCGTCGTCTAATATGCGGCGCGGGGTACCTTTTTCCCTATAAGAGATGGTTAAGTCTATGTATTCAAAATCATAGCATCAAGCCTAAGAAAAACAATTCTCTTAGCACAACGTTACATGTGAGACGGGTTTTAATAATTCACATGCTAGTCCGATTCAAACGGTAATCGGTAAAGACATATCAAACCCGTTGATGGCTGGGGGTTTGCCAAAAATCCCATAAACCTTGTCATTCAGAATACATATTGAAAGATCACAAAAGAAGCAAATGCGGAGTTTCTATTAATAGATCAAGCTAAAAGCATACAATAAAAAGCTCATCATCCTGAAGACAGTCGGCGGCTAAGAACATGAGATTTTAACTTAGAAAGCTTGTCTATATAACTCTGTTCTAGTTCTACTTGCAGGTCAGCTCGGATGGATTCTTCAGAATTGCTCAAGATCCTCGCAGCTTCATTCTTCAGTTCCATCAATCTCGCCTGCGTAGGTCCTAATCTCTCAAGCATCTGCTCGCGAGACCTCTCTAGTCCAGCCAACTCTTCCGCCATAATACCAACAGATTCCTCGGCAAGCTTCAAGGCCTTCCTCAATTTATCTACCTCCTCACGCTGAGAGCCCAAAGAATTGAGTAACTCGGCTCTGTCAGTATCCTTCCTGGCAATACCAGCCATCAGTTGTGCGACGGAATGCTCGTATGACTGAAGTTCATGACCGATGGAAGATCTCAAATCATGCCACTGCGACAACCTATTCTCCAGCTGAGAAGACACGAAAGAAGAAGCTCCGCTAGCCTGTAGCTCCTCCAACTCCCGGAGTTCAGACTCCAGGACGATAAAATCAGCAGCGAGAGAGTCAGCTAACTCCGAGTATCCGTCATCTCGGATCATCGTCATGTAGCGAGAAAGGGAACGTCTGTACTGATCAAAACCATATCCTTGGTGAAGAACCTTCTCGATCATGCTGTTAAAAAAGACAACGAAGGAGTTGAGATCCATCCGGAATACGTCTCTGCGAGGATCGGAATCAGACAAGATGGCAAGGATGTGATCATATGGAGAAGGCCGAGATCCTACAAACAACAGTATGGAAGGCTAAGAAATTATTGAATACGATAAGGAAATTTAAAAGTAAATTCCGAACATACCAATGTCAACGGAGGCTCCCTCGGGCTGAGATCTGACAGGCTCCGAGATAAAGGCAGGAGCAGTCGTAGAGGGTATATCAACCCCTGTAGGCAAATCGGTCATACCTCTCGGCTGTGGCGGGGAGACACCGCTTTCAGGCAAACTATCAGTCCCAGAAACTGTAGTGGCATCAGGCACAACGGCTGGTCCTATAGTTGCACTTCTTTATTAGTCAAAATAAAAAATTTAGACGAATAAGGAGGATCGGGATGATAAGGTCATCTGCATACCTGTAGGTCCATCATCCTCAGGTATCCGGGGAATGCCAGGAGTCATAAGAGTATCAGTCCCGGTGGCTGGTCCTATGATTGCACCCATATATTAGTCAAAAGTCAGATAAATAAAGAGGAGTACGATGTCCCTAAATCGCATGCGTACCTGCAAGTCCGTCACTCCGAGGTAAGCTAGATATGCCGGGAATCGATATTGGGTTAATCCCAATGACTGGCGCTGTAATATTAATCCTTCGTTAGTCAGACAAAAGATCAGGCAAGATGAAGGGAATCAGATATATACCTGTGAATGAATCACTCTCAAAGGGTGGTCCCACCGACATCTGCAGGACAACCTAAATGTTGGAGATATGTATAAGAAGATAAGGAAGAAGGGAAAGCTCAGAAATACCTGCAGCAAGAACAGAAGATTCTCTTTCCCCATGTTTGAGGAGGGTATCATCGGATGTAGATATACCTGAATATGGAACGGTGGGCTCAACACTATTCACCTGTCCAAGATCAATGTTTAGATCGATACCCAGAGAACCGTCACGAAGGGCGTCGCACATCTGCTCCATGAAGCTATCCATATTATCAGAACCAGTGAATACGGGAGACAATGGGAGTTCGCCCTCTTCAAAGAACCCTGGAACATAAAACATGATTACGAATCCCAGAAGGTAAGTCATCTTAAAGCAATGAAAACGACGAAGTATTACCTTCCTCCCTGTCGGCGAAGTCTCCTAAATCCACTTCATAGGAGCGCTGACCAACGTGTGGTTTATGAGCGATCTTTTTCTTTTTCGGAATATCACCCCTCATAGAACCAACGGGTCGTTCGTGCGTGGACTGGCCACGTGTATCAACCTGGGTAGGAGCTTGGCCACCAGGCCTAAATCTCGCATAACGGGAAGCGAGCGACTCATGGTCGTCGGCTGTCCTACCTGAAATGATAAGGATTATTTCATTAAATGAACCAGATCTTTCGTTGATATCAATTGAAGTTGAGAAAGAGGATCAAAGAGTATGACAAACCTGCATCAAGTTCTTCTTGGTTGATATCTATATCCACATACTCCTCCTCAGAAGTCTCGTCATCATCGTCAGTAGGAAGGAGCTCTTCATCGTCTTTGCTTGAGAGAGGAGGTTTGCCAGACTTCTTCTTCTGTTTCCGAGCAAGCTCGGCTTTACGAGCAGCCATCATAGCGACCTGGACCGAGTGCTCAGACTCTAACTCTGAAAGACTCCTCACACCTATGGATTCATTGGCGGAGAGAAACCACTTACAACTGAGGAAAGTAATCATCGGGTTGCGCCTATATGAAGGAAGAGCAAAGTGGGCTCCGGTGCAGCCCACCATAGTCCATAGCCATGCCCGTACGCCATCAATAAGCCCCCCCTCAACCTTCAAACCACGGCTCGGATTCCCAACATATAGTTGGTCGTAACCGAACTGACGAGCAAAACAGCAGGGAAGGTAAGGCTCTATGTGGCAATGATTCTTCATCCGGAGAACGAGATACCCAACACGGATGTTTACTAACCAGCGGAAACAACCAACGTCGAGAGCAGTCCGATTAGTTCTGGGTTTCTCCTCATCAGTCAGCACATCACCATAGTGACCCGAAAAGTGGGGAAAACACTTGAAGAACTCCCAGCTCTTACGAACTTAAAGCTCTCGTTGTGCATCGCCGAATTTCTTCCCGAGCCATCTGCTCCTCTCCAACAGCTGCACGAAAGGAACGGGAACATCAACAACGCTGGGCGCCGACATCAAGTCAGGACGGTGAAGAACGAGCCACGCCATCAGATACGCATAAGGGAGCTCGACCTTCAGACAAGTAAGCTCGGTCGATGGTTTAGAACCCACCCGGGTAAAACCACTGACCACATACCTAAGCCCGTAATGGATGCCGGCAACCATCGCTGGGAGCAGTGAAAGCTCCCTCCCGTAAGCTAGCTGAACTGCGGGGAAGAGCACCTCGAGAGGTAAGGCGTCTAAAGACCGGTACGGAACAACACACTTCTTCAACCAGAGGGCAAGGTAGCCTGCTAGCAGAGTCCGGGGCTCGATGGACTTCTGTGCACGGCGGAGGAACGAACGAAACTTGGTTCCTGCAGGAAAAGCTCCCTCAGCACGGGCAATGGTGTAAGAATGAGCCTCAGCCTTCTCCATCAACTCATTAATGGCGGTAGGGGTCAGGACATCTAACTCACGAAGGGGCTCGCCGGAGTCACCCTCCAAATTAGGGAACAGATAGACAGCAAACTGTTTCAAGCTGATTTGCCTTTTCTTCTTCGCTGAAGGAGAAATCTTGATCAAGGAGGTATAATAATGACAAGTGATGTCCCAAAGAGTATCATGCATGTCGGGAGTATCCTTCTTCAACCACCCCAACTGCTGGTTCGAGGGAAAGTATTCCTGATATAGACAATCCCCCATTGGAAGACCAGAAACCTGATACATCTCATGTAAGGCCAACCCTAACTCTCCGCCGCTGGTCATGAACGTGTTACTGTCGGGCATGTATGTCTCCAACAACGCCAAGAAATGGCGGCAGCTGACCGGAAGTCCGTACATGGTGGCCCGTATAGGTGCATACAATCCTCTGCTCTTCAAATCCTTCTCCCAGCGCCCCAAGACGTAACTGGTCATGCGTGTCCACCATCCCTTGGCTTGTGAGAAAGCCCAACCATAGCATCTGTAATCTGGTGGAGGTAACCTTCTCCCAAGATGAGCCAGACGATTCTTCACAGTAGGAGAAGCTGCTGATACCTCGCCTGGGGGTGCAGTGTCAAGACCCATAATCCATGGTCGAAGACCACGGATATCATGATACCCAGTAGAACCAGGAATCTTATGATGAGAGGTATATCCACACTGAACTCGCTCAGCATCATAGGTAAGAGGCCAAGACATATGTCGCTCCACGGCCTGTCCCTCCAAATGAGTGAAAGAATACTGACGAGGAATGGAGGGAATATATAGGAGAGCTCCTTCGTCGAGAGTCAGCCAATGCTCCTTGATAAGAGTCAATGTAGCAGGATCCTCAATGTGATCTCCGAACAGAAAACCGGGCTTCTTTAAAGCCTGAGTGGAAGTAGAATCTGCAGTGAAGGAGGCGTCCGTAATCAGCTGGCGTAAGCAATGACGCCCTCCATCCCGTATCAAACGACAGGATTCGTCGGAGCGATCTCTGTCAAACTGAGGGAGTGGACTAACGGCCTGCCTGATGGAAGCTGAAGAGAAGACCTCCCGGCTACAACCAGTATTAGCATGAGGAGGAAGGCTGCCCGCGGGGAACTCGACTGCAACAAAACACAAGGATAGAGTCAGAAAGCTCATAAAAAGCGAGATAAGATCAGTCACGGGATAATTGGAGAGACGATTTTGAGTGTCCTACACTGGAAGAACGGTATGCATCATCACGTAAATAACGTGGTAACATACACCGACCTATAAGGTGTAGGACGACACAAAATCGCCCCAATATACCAGAAGACTTGAATTAGCCAAGCAAGGCAAGTCCGAAACCTCGACCCCCGCGAAGGAGGGTGTCGGTTCTTCCTTCATGACCCGCGAAGGGATCAATCGGGGATACAAAAATAAAAAAATTCCCACCTCCAAAAAAGGAAGCCGCTGGAGGGGAGGATGCTGCGGGAACTTCTTCCTCGCTAGGCTGTGAATGGGATCGACTCCTAGGAAGTCGAGATCGGCGTGGAGGCATCGGAAACCTGCAATGAAAAGCAGCAAGTCAGATACAATCTAAAGTATGAATATGCGAAATTTAAAAGGGAAATTAAGAACTTTAATTAAAATCCTGTGTATAAATAGGATTTTATAGTTGAAGTCTAATTAAACCTACAAATTTCGTGCATGCGAAACAATGATTATCATCTTCGCAGTAAATTTTGATGAAATACCCAAAATACTCCTCGTGTTCAAGGCTAAATTCGAGTCAAGGACACGCTCGAGTTGGGTCATGGTCATCATACCTGATCACATAGCACCCCCAGTACCCCACAATTTTGGTTAATTTTGCAAATAAACCCTTTTGTAAAATTTAGCCAATTTTGCCAAAAAAAGACCCTCCACAAATTTCGGTTTGGTTTCCACATGCTTTTATCAAAACTTTGGTCATAGGTTTGTGAGCTAAACTTTTGGAATTTCAGCCCTAAAATTCCAGTTCTTTTGCAAATAAACCCCCTATATACTTTGTGGGTTGCTCTTTTGCAAATAAACCCCTCAAACCACATTGAACCAAATTTACACATACACCCCCCAAAATTTCAGCCATATATTTGCATAAAAGCCCTTCAAATTTCAGTTTCATATTTACACATACACCCCCCAAAATTTTAGCCATATATTTGCATAAAAAACCCTACAAATTTCAGCCCTCCAATTTGCACAAAAGCCCTCCAAAATTTCAGCCGAAAATTTGCACATACACCCCCCAAATTCGGCCAAATTCTCAAATGCCATCAAATTCGGTTTTCTTCCAAGATTAAAGAGCTAGAGTTGAAATTATCAAGCCATGAACACAATCAATCAAAAAATTCGGCCAACAATCTAACCCAATGCAAATTTCGGTTTTCCCCCAAATTAACAAACTAGGGTTTTGGATTTTGAAAAATTCAAAAGAGGGGAAATCAAATTGAAGTTATGAGGTAAAGAAGATCTTACCAAAGCTTGAAGAATCTTTGAAGAGGAGGCTTTGTTGTTGATGAAGATCCCCCAAACCCAACTTTCCTTGCTTGAAGCTTTGGAGGGGATGAGAGCTTGGAAGGAGGAAGATGAAAGCTTTTGAGGCCTTGAAAGAGCTAAGGGCTTGAAGAAGAAGATGATGGAACTCTTGGTGAAGAAGAGTTATTGAGAGAAAAGAACTTGAAACAAAAAAAAATGAAAGAAAAGGGAAAAAAAATGAAAGAAAAGGGGGGGCGGAACTCCTGCCTGGAACCGAAGAAACAAGAGAAAAAAGAGAAGAGGGAGATCGGGTTTTGTATTTGGGAGAATTTTAAGTGAACCGGACCCGAGTGAACCGGACCCGTATGAACCAAACCAGTTTAAATCATGCCCAAATCACAAGTGTCTTTTGATGGTTCACACGCGTACGGGGCGCAGAATATTGGCTCGAACGTATAGAAAGATTCGGGAACAATTTATATACACTTTGATCCCCTTTTCAGATATTTTTACGACATATTTAACACTCATATTTATACTCCAATGAGAATACGAGTCTAAACTATTTCTCACAATTGACGGGAAGTTCCTGGAAAATATTATGTATAATATTCTTAAGGATAACCCGTCAACCTCCGACGGGTACAC